CTGCTAATCAAATCACCAGTTTTATCATGATTTAACACATACTGATATTCTAATCATTTCTAGCCACATTCTTATAAGCCTTTCAAGAACTTGTAAGGGTTTGAGAGAGGGGATGCTTCTGCCAACTCTTCTGTTGTGGCTCCAACATAACTGGACAATTTCCATCCAGTTTCCAACCTTTCATTTATAAGAAAGTTTGTTCAGAAAGTGATTAGGCTACAATTCCATAGGGCTCTCAAGAAAGTGTATTATCTAGACTTTTCCAGTATGGATTCAGAACTGGCTATAACAGACAGCATTTGGTTGTACTTGTTGATGATTTATGGAGGGAACAAGATGAGGATTGTGCATCCAACCTGGACCTTCTCAATCTCTCAGTTGTTTTTGATATCACTGGTCATGGATTCTTCTGAGCCATGGAGTGGGGTTTGCAGCTGGAAGGCACAGTGTTACATATCTCTCCTGCCTTTATTATTATTTGCAGAGTGCCTCAGATTCCATCTCTCCCCACTTGTTTAACAAGTACATGAAACTGCTGGGAGAGGCCATCTGATAGCAGGGAGTGAAGTATAATTAGTATGTTGTAATAGTTGTATATCTTTGCTCCTGGACATCTAAGTGATGCTGTTGACAATACTTCTTAGTGCCTGGAGCCTGGATGGGGAAGAACAAGCTTGGGTTCAACTTTAGCAAGATTGAGTAACTGTGAGGTTTGAGGCGTCGTCTGAGAAATGGAAATTTTCTATCTTTGCTTTTGAAGGGGGAGGCACTCCTCAGGCCTGGTATGCAATCTGGGGGTCCTCATGGGCCTTGGATCCTGCTCCCAGGACAAGTGATAGCTGTGGCCATGGATTCTTTGCACAACTCTGTCTACTGCACCAATTGTGTATGTACCTGGACCAGGAGGCTTGCCTGTCATTACTCATACTGTAGTCACCTCTTGGCTGAATTACTGCAATGCTCTACATGATTGCCCTTGAAACCTTCTGGAAGCTGCAATTGGTCCAGAATGCAGCAGCACAGATAGTCATGGGTGCTTATCAGTACATCATTATAGTATCTCATTAATCTGCTATACTGGCTCCCAGTAGGCTTCAAGGTGCAATGAAAGGTGCTGGTCTGCATGGTGTAAGACTAGGTCCCTGTGGGGGTATCTTTTTCTGGTTGTTTCTGCCCATCCCACATACTCCAACAGAGTGGGCATGCTCCAGATATCTTCTGTAAAATAATGTCATCTGACAGAACTTAGGAAGCATCTCTTCTCTGTGATGGCGACTACCATTTTCATCTCCATCTGAACATTTGACTTGCTGCAACCTTGCTAACCTTCAGGAAGCTGTTGAAAACCTGGTTGTTCCCTCAGGCATAGGGTTAGAAGAGCATGGATAATGTTAGATGAAAAGAGCTCATCCAATGAACTGAAGATATGTTGTGTATTTGGTTGAATTTATAATAATAAATAAATAAATAAATAAATAAATAAATAATAAAAAGTTGGAAGGGACTTTGGAGGTCATCTAGTCCAACCCCCTGCTCAGGCAGGAAATCCTATACCATTTCAGACAAATGGCTGTCCAGTCTCTTCTTAAAAACTTCCAGTGTTGGAGCATTCACCACTTCTGGAGGCAGGTTGTTCCACTGGTTAATTGTTCTAACTATCAGGAAGTTTCTCCTTAGTTCTAGGTTGCTTCTCTCCTTGCTTAGTTTCCATCCGTTGCTTCTTGTCCTGCCTTCAGGCGCCTTGGAAAATAGCTTGACTCCGTCTTCTTTGTGGCAGCCCCTGAGATATTGGAATACTATCATGTCCCCCCTCGTCCTTCTCTTCATTAAACTAGACATACCCAATTCCATCAACCTTTCCTTATATGCTTTAGCCTAATCATCTTTGTTGCTCTTCTCTGTACTCTTTCTTGAGTCTCAGCATCTTTTTTACATCGTGGTGACCAAAACTGGATGCAGTATTCCAAGTGTGGCCTTACCAAGGCATTGTAAAGTGGTATTAATACTTCACGTGATCTTGATTCTATCCCTCTGTTAATGCAGCCCAGCACTGTGTTGGCCTTTTTGGCAGCTGCAGCACACTGCTGGCTCATATTTAAGTGATTGTCCAC